AGTTAGAGCTGCTTGTGTTGAAAATATGAAACATTCATGCTCCATTCAAAAAGAGGGAAAACAAAGTCAGTAGTAATCATAACAAGATAAGACTTTGAAAAAAAGATTCTGTTGTATGTGGGCAAATATAACAGCAAGCATTCCTAGTTGTAACAGGGATAAAGAGGCAGGAGCAGTGAAGTGAAGAGATTACTGAATTTGAAGACAATAGACCCATATTAGAGACTAATTAGAATATGGAAGAAGCTGGGCTAGCAAAATATGCAATGAGAACATGCAGTTATACAGATACTATGAGTTTATCTACACTATATGGTTATTGCAGTATGAATCCATTTAAACAGCTGCAGCTACATTCTGTATAATTCTAAGAACTGCAGTTTGGTTAGGAATGTCAGATTCTTGGTTAAATTTCTATGGTGCTCAAATATCAAAAAGCATTCTCTTTTCTTAGTGGAGATGTTTAACTAAATGATACTTTATATTATCTCACTTTTTTACATAGAGAGCTATAAGCTTTGTTTTCTTGGCAAGATATATTCAGGAGGATTTCACCATTACTATGCTCTGAGGATAGAAAGAGTGATTTGCCCAGGATCACCCAGCTGGTTTCCAGTTATTTGAGGATTTAAAGCCAGGTTATCCAGATTACTTGTCCAGAATTCAGACTATCCCACATACGTTCCTTGGCAAATTCCTTCTTGGTTTTAGTCTTTCAAGGTACATGGCCAAAGTTCTTTCTTTTAAAATAGGTTTTGGACACTTTTAAGGTTTAGACTAAAATCCAGAATGGATTAGCTTATTCATGAATCTGGGAAGCACCACTGGGCACTGTGTGATACTGTAGAATAATATACCTATGATATATCTCATTAGAGCAATGCACTTTGAGGTCCACTTTGAGGTTTGGGACTCTCCTACCTGTGTGACCGCATCTCTGTGTACGAACCCTCACAATCCCTTCGATCATCTGGAGAGGCCCTACTCATGCTCCCACCTCTATCGCAGGCGTGATTGGTGGGGACAAGGGAGAGGGCTTTCTTGATGGTGGCCCCTCGACTCTGGAACTCACTCCCCAAGGACACCAGGCATGCTCCAACTCTGGCAGTCTGTAGGAGGAGCCTGAAAACGTGGTTGTTCCAGTGTGCCTTACCAGAATAAGAAAACTCCCAGCAATATGTCCTCTAAATGCACTTTACTATTGATCTAAGAATGTCTGCACATTCCATCCCTTTCTGAAAACTCTATCCTAGTTCATATTTCATCTGTTCATGCTCAGCATTATTCTTAAATTTTAATTATTACATTTGGCCCTGCCATAGGTTTTAAACGTTGTTCTGTTACTGCTATTGTTTATTGTTTATTTTTTGTTATGAGTTTTATTTTATTGTCTGTATTAATTGTTGTTATTGCTTTATCATTGATGTACTGTGGGCTCAGCCTCATGTAAGCCACACCGAGTCCCTTGGGAGATGGTAGCGGGGTATAAATAAAGATTATTATTATTATTATTATTATTATTATTGTTGTTGTTGTTGTTATTTATTAGAAGAGTTGTGCCCCAATCAAGTGACGATTCAAATCATGGTCATCCAGATTGCTAGTTCTGTGTTTGCCTGTCACAAACACAATGGAATCATTTCGCACAATGAAACATCTTTGGCTAATGTGCTTTTAGCTGTAACTAGCAAATGATAATATTTCTTTCTCAGCATTTTTTTGTATCCAAATGTCCCTAAAATATACCGTTTATACTTGAATATAAGCCGAGTTTTTCAGCCTTTTGATGTGAAAAAGCCCCCCTCGTCTTATATTCAAGTGAAGTAGAGACAGGCTCCACTACCACCAGCACTGTCACCCAGTCTTCTGTCGCCCAGCCTTGTCTTTACCTCTGTAGCCTGTGAAGTGGCTGTGAAAAGGAGAAATGGAGGCCTGTGAGCAGCAAGGCAAGCAGGGAGACACATGCCTCCATTTCTTCTTCTATTGCCGTTCATGTGCCCTCTGCTCTCAGCACAGCAATCCAGCTGAGAGCAGAGAGGCTGGGCACATGGCGACAGAAGAAGCAGAAGCACTCGTAGCATGATGAGCATGGATGGAGGTGCACACCTCCATTTCTCCTCCACTTGTCACACACACATCCCCTCTGCACTCCGCACAGCAACCCAGCTAGATTTATTGTTGTTGTTGTTGTTGTTAATTGTTGATACCATATTGTTTTTATTGACTCTTCTTTTCCACTTACAGATCTAATCTACTGTTTTTCTTTGAAATATGGTATATATTCAAAAACATTTAACCTACTGATGCCTCAGTTAATGGAATTTTATTGGTATCTATTTCTATTTTGAAATTTACCAGTAGCTGCTGCATTTCCCACCCTGGGCGTATACTCGAGTCAATATGTTTTCCCAGTTTTTTGTGGTAAAATTAGGTGCCTCGGATTATATTTGAATCGGCTTATGCTCGAGTATATACAATACAATTTTGCATGCAGCATTCATGAATTTACGTTTTGTACTCAGCTTTTGAACTCCCCTATAATATTTGAAAAAACAGGGACCCCAATTAATACCAAATTATGATCTGTAGATGGCCACCTATTTATGAAAAGTCCAGGAAGTGAGAATCAGACCAGTTCACTTAAAAATCTAAAACAAATGTCATTCTCCACTGCCTTTCCTTAATAAAATTATTCAACTAGCAGACCTAAGGCTCTTTGAAATGTTATGTGTGCACTATTCATGTCCTGCAAATATCTTCATTTCTGCTGTAAGTAGAGCTGAACTAGCAAAAGCGGCAATGCTGGCTTGAGGGATCCTGAAAGTTGTAATTCCCAAAGATTCCCAAAGTTTTCAAACTCTGGAGTAGGTAAGCTGAGAAATTTCCATCATATCAAGGTGAATCAAATCATTGGCCCATATGGGGTAACTTGTCTTCTAAAACCTCAGACTTTACTCTTTTTTAAATTTCAATTTTTATATTCATAAAAACAATGAAACAGATCTATATACATGTACATAAATATCAATCAATACAATACTACATAACATCTATCTGTGGCTACTGAAGGAAAAAAGGAGCCCCTGAAGTTTCCCCAATTATAATAATTAGGTGCAGTTACTATAACGAAATATAAAATTGTGTTACTCTCGTTATAATAACAATTTTTCCACTACTTATACTTTAGAAACACTTTAAAAATGAAACGTGAGTGCCCCCGAGTTTTGTAATGACTTTTGAAGCATTTTTAATGGATTGCATATGACTTATGCACAGACACACACACACACAACAAACATGCTGAAAGGTTAACCTTTTTATTTGACTCTTTTAAATTGTTTCTATAGTACTCCCATTAGGAGATAGCAATGGCCTACATGAGTTTTAAAGTAAAATAATAAAAATTGGGGGGGATCCAAATTACACGTTGATTGGCATTAAAAGGCAAGTGAAAATTAAATTGGCTTCAGCAATTGAAGGGGGATTAATGAGGGGATGCACTGTAATGTTGAAGCTATTTGGCTATGGATTTAGAATGTCTAGCATCCTATTTTATTAGCATTACTGTTTATGCTTGCTTGGAATGCCACAACTCGTTGGCTTCTAAGCGTTAGAGATTAGCCGTGTTCAAATGGGATTAGAACGGGTAGTGAGATTTCATGTGCAAGCATCAGCTCCTGTCTGACAGAGAGTGATTTGGGAGGCCTGACTTGCAACAAAACTGTACAACAGTTCACTTAATTTACTTCTTCACAGAAACCCAGTTCCATTTCAGTCCCATGCCTGCATGGCACCCAGACACTTACAGGAAAAGGGCAGGTCCTGAACCAGTGCTTGGCCACTGTATCGGACTGGATTAGGGACAACAGATTGAAACTAAATCCAGACAAGACAGAGGTACTCCTGGTCAGT